ATTATAACTTTTCTGACACTGCAACCAAAAGAGCTGCTGGGGCCTTGCTGCAGCAGGAGCCTCACTGAGGCTTTCACCACAAGTACAGAGCTTTTGGCTGTTGACGTGTCCTGGTTCTTCTAGCAGCACCATGGTTCTACTCTGCTCAGACTGCTGTCACCCGTATGGGCTGCGCGGGAGACATCTGCTCTCCTTATGTGAAGGCAGGGAGATGGAAGGGCTCTGTCTTCTTCTGAGGCAAGTTTAGTCCTCATTAAGTGGGCGTTTGCACACTCACTGGTGGGTAAACGGAGTTGCGTGTGTGATTGTTTATGAAAACAAGGAGAGTTGAGTGGGAGTGGACTCTTTCCCTGGTTACTGGGGAAAGGGTGTGAAAAGGATCACATTCACTAGTTGTCTTCCTTCTCAAATGTCTGTCTCTCAAAATGTGAGGCTGCACACACAAAGTCTAACTTGTAAGCTTTTCTTCATCTAGCTATAGCACACACCAGAGTTGTTTGATGACTCCATTGAAGGGGATTGGCCTGGACTAAGTGCATTTTAGGTGCTCATTACCTCTTTTTGTTTTAGGTTGTCAGAGTAGACATGCTTCAGAAGCAAAAATAGAAAACTGACATACCTTCTGGTTCTCTTGTAGTAGGTTTTAATGTTTTTTTCGTGGTTTTCAATAAGTCTAGGTAGAGTCTAGCTGCTCCAGCCACTTTGATTAAGTGGGGCAGAAGTGTCACCAGTGTCATTCCTCACTGTTTGGCAGAACTAGAAGGAACACATGGGGAGGTTGTCTGTTACAAAAGCAAAAGCAAAAACAAAAACAAAGCTGCAAAAAAAATCCAACAAAAACAGGACTCTTGCTGTTACACTGAGACATCAGACAGTCCACTCAAAACTGACTTATTTAATTAAATGGTAATTCAAGTGAACAGCACACTGTGTCCTTCAATAACAGCCTGGCAGCTTGCTCATTAATATAATACAGTATTAATTTTCTCTCTCTGCCTTGCCACAATAGGACACATTCAAACATGAGGCTGAATGCTGTATTTCCTCCAGAAATAACATTGGAGGAGGGGTAAGGGTATAATTAACTAATATGTGTTGTGCTTTTGTTTTAAAAGTTTATTTTTTTGCTTTAAAGGTCAGCAGATAACAGCTTATATACTGTGTAATTTTCTAATGGATAACAGTGCCCAATAATACAGAAGTTCAAATTGTCCACTAGAAAGTAAAATTCATAATTTTCAATCTGCAGCAAAATACTTTAGTTATGCTACCCTGAATTTATGACTATTCATAATAACTTGTATACAATATATTACTTACAAGACTGATGCAGTTTGTAATCACATTTTTAATGTTGCCTGCTGGCACAATTAATGGAATCCAGGGTGCAAGATGAAGAGTGAACAGCAAGTGTTTACAGATCTGGCTCTTTGAAAGTTGTATGATATTGGTAAATAGAAAATCAGAAAGAAAACCAAGTGTTATTTCTCATATGCTATCATAATTTTGAGGCATTAGAAAATTTCTTTGTGAAATGATATTTTTGGCTTTTTGTTCTTCTGCATATAGTACTCACAACTACATAATTCCAAGAGGATCAAGCAGCATTTTGTGCTCTTCATATTTAGATAGCAGCTTATAATAATTTTAGTTTTAATCTGTTCTTCATTTTTTAATTAAAAGTACAGTTGTTCATCCACAATATTTTATTTTCAGCAAAAAACAAATCAGGTAACATATAAGGTTTCCAGAAATACCTAGTGGAGTTTTAATGTTACTTGTACCAACCAGGGGATTATCACTGCCTTTACTAGAATCAAAGCAAGCCAATATTATTTAAATTGTAAAAAATATGTCTGAAAATAATTGTTGGCACAAAATCATGCTCACAGCTTCCTAGTGCACTGTATGAGAATTACCTTAAATGTACTATTTCTCTGAAGTAAAATTTCACTGAGCACATTTACAATAACTTCTGAAAAAATCTCTGTATGTATAATCTTTTCTCACTAACTGACTAATTGAATGGTTGGAAATACTATTTATTTATGTTTTAATAGTACATAACATCTGTACTCATTCTCATGGGCATAAATAGTCATGGATACTCCTAGAGTTCTTTCAAGTCCTATGTGATGTATGTCTGTCATTCAGTCAGAGACTTACGGTGTAAATGACTCAAAGACAGTTGCACCAACACATTGCAAACTCAAAGAGGGGATAAACACTGCAACCTGAATTGGAACTCAAGAACTGATGTAGATGGCTTTTCCTTTCATAACTGTATATTTTCTGCTTTTTTTTTTTTTTTTAATAAAATGCCAATAATCTATAATTCTCATGCATCAGTACAAAAGCATAGTTTTACAATATATTTTAACCAAAGTGAAATAGTGTGTTAAGGTCAGCATTGCAGCTAGCCCCTGTGTGAGCTGGCACAGTGGAGGGGTCAAGAACTGCTGTTGACCATTTCTAGAAATTCATTTAAATAGGAAGATCCAGGATTCAGAATGTTTATCTGACTCCTTTCTCGCCTTGGAGTTGATCAGTGGGATGTCAAATATGTGCTTGATCTCCTTACATCAGGGGAGATGACTGATTCTTTTCATGGTGCTTGTTACTATTTTCTTCTTGTTTTCCTTAATTATTTGGCATGAACTATAGTCCATCTTAAAACCATTACTTGACTGGGATTCCTTTCTTTCCATTTTGTTACTTCTGCGCTCCAGGGGATTTCCTTGAGGAAGTTAATATCTTTTCTAGGTTGCTACAGTGACACAGGATCCAAGTTTTTTTGTTAAGAATTTCCATAACTCATTCAGTTTCAGGCAAAATTATTGGCTGAAGTTCTTTCTTTCTTTCCCAGCAACTTACCTTTACTGTCTTGTGGTAATTACACTAAAGGAAAGATCTCATCATATTGCTTTAATTTGGCAATACTTTATTTTCTTACTTTGATCTCTGATGGGAAAGATGCTTTCTGTATGGCTCATGGATCCCAATTCAGCCAGTAATTATTACTGTAACAATACTAGAAAAAACAAGCAGACAAACTAACATTGTGATGTCTACAAAATATATTACATACGGTTGCCTAGCAGAAGAAAAAGGCATTGAGACAATCTTTGCATTTTTTTGCCACACATAGTCCAAGTAATTGTGGTGTGGTTGCACTCATACAACTTTTTCAAAATGTGTGGAAAAAATAAGAAAGTCCTTTTTTTTCTTCATAGAAGTTCTGTAATGTGAAGGATAATGGTGTTGTAAATGCACTGTTGAGTTTCATCACAGAGCCTAGGAGTGAGTTGTAGTGTTTGTGGATGTGAGGAGTCTGTGCTTGTTCATTCTTCTTCATTTCCTTAAATGCTGTATGTAAGACTCACTTTATGCTGCTGGAACTCTCTTCTTATGAATCTGAAGATCATATGTATAACATGCAGACAGAAATAAATCCTGTAGGTAAAAGAAAGTAGAAACTGGCTAAAGATCAAAGGTTATCCTCATTCCACTCCTTCCTTCACTTTTATTATCCTGTCTAAATTCAGCCTTTTGTAGAGAGGTTTTCATTTTATTTTTCATGAGGAAAGGTTGAGTTTAAATGAGAGTTAAGATTTTATTTGTTTTTCAACTCAGTATGTAATTTGAACCACAGCGTAGTAACTTTGCTAGAATACAAACTGCAGTTCTTATAGAAGGTATATAGGGTATATAATGGCATAGAAGATTGAGGAGTGGATTAAGGAAACAATATTTCAACTCAAGTGTTCTGTGATCTATAGATTAAGTGTCAAGTAGATCTCCTTATTCTTTTCTTCAGAACTAATTGTATGTTTTCTTGCTTGCCAGAACAAGTATTAAACCTGTCTTGCAAAATTTCTTTAGATAACATACTTGTAATTTCTGTATTTATTTTTGTACTTTCGGTGACATTTTCCACCAGAATGCATTAAGAATTTTGCTTTTCCTACCTTTATTGAGCCTTCCACAGGTGCTATTTAAATGCTTTATTTAAGACTATGAAATGCACTGAAATAAGTAAGGATGACCAACAGTAGAGCAACTGAACCAGATTAAGTAGAAAAGTTAAGAACAATATGTAAGGAGTACATAACTTCAGTAGTTTCAAAGCTATTCTTATCATTACCCATATAAAGGAGATTAATCAAAACAACAGCTGTCCTGGGAAACTACCACAAAATTTAAAGTGTCTCTTCTCTCCCAATTAATATTTTTCATGAATTTTTTGTCATTAAAAATTCAATACATTACGTGAATAACAGTTGAAATGTTTTAGTATTTACATAATTACAGATCACCATAAAAAGTGTATCACATTTTTTTATTATGAAGCAGAATTACTTAGAACATTGTAAGTCAGGAGCAAGCAGTACTGGTAGAGATTCTAAAACATTCCAGGTAGTTTCAACTTATACCAAAATCTTGAATCAAAGAAAGTGATTCAATGTTATTTCTGCTTCCAAAAGTACTTCAAAATGGTGATAAGATTTGACATGTTTCCACCATTTTTCTATCCCTGGCTGTATATTAGGCTCGAAGTCCAAATACAAAGGAAGAAGAGATCCCTAAACAAAAATTTCACCTTGTTTGAAAAGCACAACTTTTAATTTTAGTATCATAGTCTAACTATAAATGTTATTTATCACATCAGTGCCATGAGTGATCATTTCTAAATAACACAGTTGTATTTTACATTGTTGTGCAAATGGGGAGAATCAAGGGTGATATCTGTTAATGAGAGGCAAACCTCATGTTTCAGCTGGTATCCAGCTACTGAGGATCAGCATGGTGAACATTATCTCACATCTGCCTCATGCAAAATTCTGTATACCTAACTCCAAAGCATCTGATGTGGGCTGTAGACAAAAACAGGATACTGAAATAAATATATCCCATACTCCATGTAGCCTTACTCAGCAAATGTGAAATATGTTAGTAATATTTGTTCTGCTTTAATTATTTGCACTGTGTTTGAATACTAGGTTTTGGTCACCTAACCAAGCAATTGCTGAAGCTAGCGGACGGACGTGTCGTGCTGGCACTGGAGGGAGGACATGACCTTACTGCCATCTGTGATGCATCTGAAGCCTGTATAAATGCCCTTTTAGGAAATGAGGTAAAACATAAATCATAGTTGGAGAGAATGATCCGAGATTGCTGAAAATATTATCTTTTCTTTTAGCAACTGTAGAGCAGACCTATTTTGATTGGATTTAAAAGACATGCAATTTGAATGTTTCAGAGTACATCTCAGATAAACCAAAAGCATGCTTTGCTTAAATAAATATTTCTAAATAATATGATTATATAAATCATTTAATGTTTACATAAATTATTCTCAGTTCCAGGTAAGATTTTACACTTCAAAATTGCATTTGGTATTGCTGTGCTGAATACCAGGCTTCATTGGTATTCAATACCACAGCCATTGGCATCATCTAGAAAGATCAGAGCTTCCAACCAATTTTTGGGGGAAAACAGTGGCTATTGCAATGTACCTGGTAATCTTAGGGGTTGAATATTGCAATGGCACTTTTTTTTTTTTTTTAATATTTTAACATTTCATCTTTACTAGCATATAGAACTATAAATTTCAAAGGTTCTTGACACATAAAAGCATTAATAAGTATGTAACCAAGATTTCAAAAAAACTTGTTACTATTTTTTAAGTTAAAAATGAAGGTTCAGTGTGATCTGTCTGTATGCAGTTTAAATGGAGTGTCCAAGATTTGTAAAATACTTTATAAATTATGAAAAATCTTTTGAAAATGGACCGTCAGACTAAGGAGATATGAATACATAAACACTCATTTATGAAAATAGGTTCTATTGTCCACTGGAAAATATCTTTTCTTCTATAAATATGATGAGAAGGACAATAAGCTTGCAGAATTTACAGAAGAAAACATTTAAGAAAAAGAAAAATTTTTACCAGAAACTGAACTTTGTGAGATCTCATTATAAAGTTCAGTATATTACCATTTTTCCTCAAGAGAAACAGCAATGGCTAAATAATTTATCCAAACAAATGTATTAGTGCTAAACTGAAAGCTGGTCTGCTAATTTCCTTGTACTTCAAGTCTTCATACCTATGAGAATAAAGTGAAGTAATGTGTCTTCTGATGGAAATTGGATAGGCTTTTCCAACTGTTCTTTTTAACCTTTTATTATCATGACTCATCAAGAAAGATAGTTTTATGCTTATTATTTTTTACATTATATGTAGAATGAATACAAAGATAACTTTCTCAAAAGTATTTTCAGAAATGTACAGAAGTAGACACGCTCAAAAAAAAAAAATTAAGCTTTCATCTGGGTTTTGTCTTCTGTTATGTTTGACAAGTCCCAAAATAAGTGTTTCCAGTTTTGTGATATATACTGTTTAAATGGATGCTCAGCTCAGTGTTTCTTATTTGCTTATTTATTTAACTGTTGGAAGTATTGCAAACCTAGATTGAGGCATTTTACAATCTTAGTGAACGCAGCTTTGGTTTTCCTATGAGGCGCTCTACCAGGGCACTCTGATTTCCTATTCCCTGTTGTGATTTTACTTGTAATAATAAGATGACATCATGGCATCAGTGGCTTTTCATAGCTCTTTTAAACCCATTCCCTGAAATTTGGATCGTTATGAGACTAATGCTAATGACACAGTTCTAATGTTATGATGCGGATTCCTTTTGTGAATATCTGTGTCCCTCTATCCAGTTATGACCATTTGGTGGTGCTACCCTTTTATGAAAAGTGCTTTGTTTTGTTTCAACACTATATCACACCCAGCTACCATTTCTGCTTTCACAGGCCAGACATTATAGATAGAATACTGACTATCAGAAAAAAGAATAGGATAAGTGTATTGGAATTGAAGATTTCTTCCATTTTCTTTTACAGTAACCTAGGCCTGGGAAATTAGATAAGTTATGAATCTATCTGGTTGAAAAATACTGCAAAGCAAATTTCAAGTCAAACAAAATTGTAATAACAGATTGAAGAAAAACATAACCACACAACCATTAATTATACACTTATAAAAGAGCATGATCCTTAATAACTTGAAACATCTCATGCAATAAGCATTATTCTCATGTGTTGTTACTCACAGATGTGTCCTCAGGGAAATTCATTGAATGGTCTGTTGCAGCAGAATTTCAAAGAGAAAATATGCTGTGGTTGCTAAGACAAAAATACTCCAGAGTGGATGTCATTACTAACACTAGCATAAGATATTGATCCTTACTTAAAAGAATAAGTAAAGGTGTTGCCGAGGAGCAGACACTAATGAGGAAGTCTGATACTGAGTTAGCAGTTAGAAGTCAGCACGTCCGTTGACATCTATAGATTTATGGAAATCTATACCACATGGCCCATAGCATACACATTGCTTGATTTCAGCATATTATTCATGAACTTGCACAGCAAGCTGTACTCAGCCAAGGACAGAAAAGAATGCTTTTCTTCAAATAACCAATCATTGTAATTTGAGGATACATTCTTTCCTGCATACAGCTCTTCACAGGTGATTAATAGGATAATTATAACTTATTGTCTGCCCTTCACTTTTAAAAATCATGGTATGTAGTGTAATCCTAGTTTAAAAACTTTGGCAAGATGAACTTCGGTTTCCAAATACTACACATGTAATTGAGCTTGAATTAAAAAGGTTGAGAAAGGCCTTTGCAAGGTATTCTGCAGTTTGTCAGATGTATTTATTCATATGCTGAGGATTAGAATTCATAAACATTTTGCAGGGTGTTTGAAAACTTCTTTGCTTTTTTAGGTTTTGGCCAGGACTTGTCAATACAGAAATTCACCATTTCATATGTTCTATTACCAGCAGAATACCACCATAGAATAACGTATATACACGCATGCACACATACAAAAAAAAAAAAAAAAAAAAAAGAATTGTAAAACTAACAGCAGCAACTTCCTACTTTCATGAAGATCTGATTTGATTTGTAAACATAAAATTAAACTTACAAACAAGCCCTTATTTTCTTAATTTGACCATAAGTACCAAGAAGGAAAATATTTTGACACTCACATTGGAGTGTCTTGTACTTTTCTTAGTTGTATGTAACCTGTAGGATAGTAATCTGTTTATCAAGATAACTTTTTATGCATCTCTTAACAAATGCGAGTCACTAGAAAAGGAATACAGTATCATGTTGATCTTTTTTAAATTTGAATATGGCACAGGAAAATCTTGCACATAATTGTTGATTTTGAAGACTAACCAAAAAAACTATTAAAAGGTCTCTTTTTCTTGGAAGACCTCAGAATTCAAATGAGCTGTCAGCCCCATCTCTGTGTGGTGAGAACTTCTGAACTTCACACCAGAAGCACTTTTGAATAGCAATTTCAAAATTCAACAGATAGTTAATGGGATTATTGTTGTCTTTTTTTCTTCTGATTGGACATACTTATATTGATGATTGATTATTTGTAAACCCTAATATTTCTTAAGCAGATGTGCCTAGTACCTTTAGATACTGTAGGTTATGCAGGAGATCTGATAGGACTCATAGAAATAACACAGAACTTAGAGGAGACCTATGCCTTTTATGATTGGCAGCTAGACATCGGGCAGAACACCCTGTACTGGAAAAGGTTATATGCGGTTTAGTTGTGTTTAAGCAACTAAATACCCCTTTAAATAATGAGAAAACCAAAACAGAAATGATAGAGGAAAGGAAAAAACTTGTTAAAATGAATTTATTAGTAGAGGGCTTTACATAAAAAAATACTTTTAAAAAATTAAGTCCTGGTGATCTCAGGTGAGATTACTTTTAAAAAATTAAGTCCTGGTGATCTCAGGTGAGATTACTTTGAAAAAAACCACTTTAACTATTTTCAGAGCTAGTTAGGAGCTGTGTGAGTTATCTTCTTGGAAGGAAATCTTCCCAAGAGTGAGAAGAGATTAAGCAGTTGGATTCCCTTGAAAACATGGAATTCCTTGGAAGGTAAAAGACAGGCTGAACATAAATTGCTTTAAAATGTCCCTGAGAATTTGAAACATGATTTAAGAACATGTCCATTAAATGAGCATCTTTCAAAACAAAGGAAATACTGAATTCCTGAATACTGAAAATTAGAAAGGAGACATTGCTTTTAAGGCTATATATTTATGAGATGCAGCGTTGTAATTAAAATTCAGTTCTCTCATTTATTAAGACAATCTTTAAACAATACTACAGCTTTTCATGGATAGGTTATATTATTTCAAATACATATCCTTAATATATATGTGTATATCTTTTCAGCTATGAAATTTATTAAGTGCTAATATATATGTTTTATCCCAGGAAGTGTGTGAAATTTGAATTCACTGTTCAGATATTCCCCTAGTCCTTTTGGTGCCAGGTGGAAAGGCTATTCCCTATATGAAAGACAGGTTCTGGTTTCTTTCCTCCATATCACTTTGAGGAGGCATTACTTCCATTTAAAAAGCCGTCAGGGGTAAGCGATTCTTAAGCTTGGTGTCCTGAAACCTGCAGCTTATTTCCACAACAACTACATTAAACTGGGGAATTCCTCAACAACCAGAGAGAATGAGGAAAGAGTCCTCCAAGTGCAAAACTCTTTGGGTTAAAAACTAAGGATTTAGTTCTTCCCTCATCTCATCTGATGTCAAAAACCCAGGTGGGATATTTCTGTGGGACTCAGAGGTCAGTCTAATATTGTGGTCCTTCTGATCTATCTACAGGTTTTGTCTTTTAGCTCTACATGGTGCAGCAGTTTTTCCGTAGTCAGTAACAAGTGATAATTGGTCACAGATGGGGTCATGTTCTCCTTTGCAGAGAGGAAATGGAAAAGTGCAGTCCAGAGTGTGCTCTGCCCAGCAGGACCCTGCAACAAAGACACACAGAGGATGTATGTCTACTCTCATTGATTGTGGCGTCCAAGGCAGAATTTGGCCTCAAGTGCAAAAACATTTTTGAGTGACTAAATTTAACATCTTCTACTAAATATTCTTTTGGCTTGGATATCAGTCTGAAACAGAATTTGACAAAACATTGTGATTGGTTGGCTCCCAAGCATGCTTAAAGTCTTATACCAGACAATTTTCTTCTATAGTGTGAAGTATGTGCTTCTTTCTTGCAATCTGTTGAGTTGGCATTTAGAAGGGGATGGTAATTTAAGTGGAAACTTGTACTCTGGATCTTTCCTGCCAATGATGAAAAGTTGGCATTTGCTCCTTTATGGAATTCAGAGTGAATCTGGGACTGCTTGCCAGCTAGGCAACAAACTCTGCCAAGAGAGCCTGGGCTGTGTTAAAAAGGGTTATTTGCCAGAACAGGTAAGCATTTCTCTCTTCAAAAAGGGAATATTAATGTAAGTGAATATAGTCTGAGATCAGTTTTAACTTGCATGGTAAACTTAGTCATGGTCTTACATTCTTAATGTTAATTTTATTCTAATACTAGAAAATAATTAGCACCTGTCAACTGCTACTTGCATAAGCACAGAGACCAGGAATTGGCTCACAAATAGAACATTAGAAGAAAGAGGAGAATGGAGCAATGTGCATGCCAGAGATTAACATGGTGGCATCAAAGTCCAGAAAATGGGCAATGCTGTTTGGACAAGGTGACAGAATATTCTGAATTTGCAGTTACGTATTTCCAAGGCAAGGCATTGTTTTTTAGGGACTGGTAGCTACTAATGATGCTTCAAGCTTTTGAATTTATTTCCTTGTGAAGACTGTCATTTATGTACAGCACTATAACCATGGATCACAAAATTACTTACCTTGAATGCTTATATATGAAATTAGAAGGTTCCAAAACTTTGAGAATAGTATTAATAAAAGAACATAGAGGACCTACTAGATCCTTGAGATTGGCTCTCTGTAATCATGGCAAGAATAACAAAGCCCAGTCCTGGTGCTGGAATGCTTCTTGTACAGTAAACTTGGGAAATGGAGATTGTAGCACTTCCCTCTGCAGCCTCAGTGTCTCTGAGGAGCCTGGCTGCCTTCTCCCCTTCCTCTGTGTTTGTGAGGACTCTCCATGCTCCTTACCATTTCCTTGCAGTTTCCTCACTTGTCAGTTATTTTAAACTGTACTCTGCAACAGTCTTCTCTGAAATGAACCTATATGCTCTAAAACATGACAGGACTAAGACAGTGCAGATATTGCTGGATATTCCAACTCTGTACAAACTGCTGCAGTTTCAGATTCTCCTCACATTCCTAAGGATCTTTGCAGATCACCTTCTGGGCACGTGAAATTTCCATCTGTAATTCCTTCTTCAGACATTTGTTGATATGTCTCTGGCACACTTTAGCAACCCAAGTGACTTTTGTTCATTTACATTGTTTTTCCTACTTTGAAAATGATTAGTTAATACAGTTTCTACTTTCATCTGCTACTTTGGGCACAAAAGCCAAATCCAGCCATGTAAAACTTTGAAAATTTGACTCTCTGTGTCTGGTCCAAAGTGTCTCTCCAGCGATTTGGTTATTTCTGTACTGACTTAAGCTGTTTTTCTCTGAAATACGTATGTTTCTTTCCTGAGAACATATGTATTTCCAGCTCTCTTTTCAGCTTCCATTCTGTTAGCCTCCAGATTAAAAAAGTTCATGATCTCAATGCCAATAAGTGTAGGAAGGAAGATGGTGGTGCCATATATGCCAGGTGTAGAGTAACTTCTTTTATTCACCATTGGGTCCAACTGGTGGTATTTTCCTCTATGTCTTTACAGTTGTATCCAACCAGTGAATAGCTGCCAACAGAATCTGGTCTGTTGAATGCAGACCATATCATTTCAAAGTCTATAGAAATATCTACCATAAACCACTGGCTTTATTTCTACAGTGTTTTTTAACAGCATTGCATTTAAACTGAATAGGATATATGGTATAATAAACTTATTTTGGAACCTCTTAAGATTTCCCTGATATGGAACCATGAAGACTCAAGTTCTGTCTGCTTACCCCTAACGATTAGGAAGATAGAACAGCTCTGGAGCAGAGGGTGTGTTTTGAATATGACACGAAAGCGTTGTGGAAAGAGGAGTTAAAGAGATGATCAGAGAAAATTATTACATTCACGTCACTTAGTTAGTTACTAAGTTAGTTAGTTAGTCATCCGTTAGTTGAACTACCAAATGTAATAGTAATTGGAATAATAATTGTTGGACATCTGACCCTTTTATCTTCTGCTAAGTGATTCATCAGCATATTTTATCTTCTGGAAATCCATCTTCCGTTTTTAATATTTGTCAGATATGTCTTGGTGTTCAAATATTTTCTATGTTCTACTTTTGTACTAATGAATAGAAATTTCATTGATATATTAGGAAAAATGGAGGCAAAGTTTTGTCTCCTAAAAAAATCTGTGAAGAAGATAACAAAGCATTCTCCTGTAGCAAGATATATTTTCTAGTTGTTATCTAGATCTTGCTGTCATGTGTAAGAGTTCTGCATGAAAATACTCAGGGTACTCAAAAAGGAAATAAGACAGAGGTTTCAAATCTTACATTCTGGCAATTTCGTACTTCATACTCCAACGATATTTTTACAATTATAGCCTGGAGCTATTAACTACTCAGGGAGTTAATTGGTCATAAATTATGAAATTGTCAAAACAGAACCTTAAATTTGTCATCAACTCTTCTGTGTTCCTGCACCCAGTATGACCAAATGGAACTTCAAAACTTTGTCTTTTTCTAGGCCAAATAATAGATTGCTTTAAAAAGAAGATAACAAGTGATAAAAGCAAGTGCTATCTGCTTACATAACCCAATTTATAGATTATTAAGAAAATAATATTCTAAAAACTGTGAAGCTTGAGCTGCTGCTGGGCATTTTCATAAATGCAGTTTTCCGCCAGGAACCTTCAAATAACCAAACAGGGTGAACTAGGGATATTGTGAAGTAGTTGTGATTTAGGAATTGCAAATATTTCTGTAAATCTGATTTTTATTGTTATTGCTTTCTTGGTTCTAATCCGCGATACATATTATATAGCAACAATCTTCCTCTACTGCCTGGCCTCTCCAGTAACTGAGAAGGGCTGGGGCCAACTCAGGTTCTACCAGTACTTTTCTGAACACATGCTCACTGAACAGAATGGAGTGATTTATTCTATTTGAAAACAAAACATAGTATTATTGTTTCTAGCCACAAGGAAATCTTCCAGCTGCAATCCCATATGGTATTCTAAGGAAATAATGACACAAACAGCCTTATTCCATTTAGCTATCAAGACACCTAACCACTGGAGTTATTTACAGTGTCTTTATTACTGGCAGACGTTCAGGGTTGATCTTACAGGTAGGTTCCCAGAATTTCTGGAATCTGTAGTTGAACTTCCTTAAAATAGCATTGTTAAGGGGATGTCTACACTGCATTTGCTTCCCACTTTGTGTGCTTGGGTCAAAGCTGATTTTATCTAGTTGGTGGGTAGCAATGCGGCAGTAGCAACCCCAGGAACAATATGTGATGGCTACTGAAGTACTCACTTCACAAGGAAGCTACTTGGGTGGGCTACACTTGACCTAGTTTAAAGCAGGCCCAGGCATGCTTAATAAAGGAGTTCTGTCTGCAGCACAGATGTCTCCTATCAATGATGGTTGAACTTACTTAGCTTTAAATAAGAGAGGTTGGTTCTGATATGGCTCTTGTTCACCATGATGGGATTTCTCCTTCCTGGCTCTGCAGGAAGCACGCCTCCAAGGCCAGACTTAGCCAGCCTGCATGAGGAAGCAGAATGGTCTCTAAGCACAGTTCAAGGAAAATGTAGTTGTTACAGAACAAGGAGGGACGCATAGTCCTAATTATGTTTACCCTTTTCTAGGAGAAAATGCGTGGACAAAAAAAAAAAAAAAAAATCAAAATACAAGTAGTTCTCGGTTGTTATCCTCATGAATTGTCAGGTTATAGTAATTTCTGATGTTAACTACTATCACATGTCTATTCTTCACAACTCTGAAATCCAAATTAGGATTAATGTAAGTCCTATGAAAAGAAGAAAAGTACTGTATGTTCCGTGCAGTGAAGTATCACTGTGAAACAGAAAAATACTGTTATCTCCAGATTATAAATGGGGATTTGAAATGAGTGAGGCACTGTTATGGCAAATTAGTTTTAAAAGGTTGAATATATGTCAAAAGTATCCAGGGATTAGTTTTTTTAAGGTATTTAGGTACCTAATTTTCCTCAATGAGAAGTGGTGAGGGATAACTCGTATTCATTGCAGGAAAGAAATTACTGTGCAGAAACTGAACACATCCTTCTGCTAATTTATTATGATGCAGCTCCACCCGAAGAATGCACAATTAAAATTGATGGATTAAAATTCAGTTGTCTCTAAAACAAGTGTGCTTAGAGAACTTGTACTGCTGGTCTGCACAATAATTTTTCACCTACTTCTTTATTTGAAAGTAATTCAAAGCTAATAAAAGTAGCTGCTTCATGGATTTCCCATATAAATCTTAAAGTGTATAAGATGGTTAGATTTAATAACACTAGAAAAATAAAGATAATGGAGTGCACACTTTGGTTTCAGTGTGGCTTCAGCAAAGTTTTGTTTGGAGTACCCAGCTGCATATACAGATGCAGTGGAATTTGGTTTGCGAGGAACCTACAAAAATTACACAAATAACTAGCATTTTTTTTAGTGAATAATACACAGACATGCACCTGCTTCAGAGACTCCATAGATTAGTCTTGCAGCCAATAGAAAAGCCCCTTGGAATTCAATTACGTGGCTGAAAACAGAAAACAAAATCATGGCTATACTTTTAGTACTCTAACCAGCAAAATGTTAACCAGTTCCTGGGCTAAGGTTTTCCTGAGGATTAGTTTGTTTCAGTTTGTTTTGCTTCCCTGCTTCTTACTGAAAATTTATATTATTCTATTCTATTCTTGCAGCTGGAGCCTCTCCCGGAAGATATTGTGCACCAAATCCCCAATATGAATGCAATAGCTTCTTTAAAAAAGACCACTGAAATTCAAAGTATGTTTCTCAGATTGGGTTGTTGGGTTTGGGTGTTTTTTGTTATTAATTAATGTCACAGACATTAAACAATTGTTTCACAGAAAAGAGAAGACAAGTTTTTTATGTACAAACCCACATGCTGTGTCTAGTTTGTATGTATCTACATATATAGATATACACACACACACTTTGTTTTTGTTGCTTTGGCATGTCTTTGTTTCTGCTATGTATTTATACGTGATGCATTAAGCCATTTAAATTATTTAGAGCTTTCCAATTTCTGCATTTTCCCAAATCTCCCCATTCCAGAGCAGGTTAAATGAAATAGATGTTTGTCAGTGAGGGACAGGAACAGACGCATAAATCACAGCTCAAGCAAACAGACTTTTCAGATTTTGTTTGTGCAGCCCTTTTCAAGTTACTCACTTCAGTACGTGGCGGAATTTGAAATAAAATTTAGAAGCTCAAAATGGACAATGATCTCTGGAACAGTGCTGGCAAATATATTGCGATTTTGTTCTATTTCTGATTCAAACAGTACTTGATTGCTTCAGTTCTGTGCCTTGCTCTTTACTAACCAGATGCTTTGGGGCACTGCTCTGACCTCAGGGAAAATTTTTCACTTTGCCATCAGTTACCTTAATCCTTCTGAACAGAACTCCCTTAATTTCTCTAATCTGCTTTCTGCCATTTTACCAAGGCTGCAGAAGCTTCCTGACTTCTCCTGTTTGCTGGCTCCTTAACAATAACAAATGGATAACAAACGTTTTGATTCATGTTAGGTTAATCACAAGTAAGTGGGAGTCATCTCTATAAAATAAATGCAGCTCTTGATGGGGACACCATGCATTATTCATTGATAATGTAGTACTTCTAAATGTAAATTTAGTTGTAAAGAGACTGTGAAATTCACTGTGGGTTTATAATTCATAATCCTTTATAATTTATAATCCTTCATATCCAGCAGTCACTCACAATATATACAGGCTCCAATTAAATCATCTGTATTTGATAAATTCCAGTATGACATTTTTGCTAAATGGTATCTCTTAGAGTAGCTCATGAATTTGTGTTTTTCTTAAAATTCCCTGTAAGTTAAGAAAATTCACATCCTACACAAGATCATATTGATTTGCAAATGATAATAGGAACAGAAAGCCACACACAGAGACCTAGAAAGCTTATGAACAGCTGGAAAGAGCATCTATTTCTGTTAGGAATGAGAACATATATTTAATGAAAAATGAATCTGAAACAAACAACAAAAATAGAATGGATGGGGAAAAAATAATACTAGATCTAGAGAAACATGGTGTCTAAGTGTCTTACTAACAATACTTATACACAAATGATGGTATTTTAGGAAGAAGAAAGTGGCTGAGAAACAAAGATATGGTGTGTATCTCAAAACACAAGCCAAAGCTCTGCAGAGTGACTTAATTCTGATTATTCAGAGCAAACTTTGGTTTGAGCAGACCCAGTTCAGTCATGGCAGTCCAATGAACTGCCAGACTGCTCAGGATTTGGAGTTGTACACAGTGCTGTTGATGTGGGATTTTTTTTTTCCACCTATTGCCTGAAAAGTTATGTATCCATCATTTTTTGAGAGAGACCAAGTATTAGAAACAAATGTGCTTGAAGGAAGGAAAAGAATATTGAGGGAGGTTAGTGAAGATTCATGCAGGATATGTAATTAAAAAAATTACACTGAAAAATTGTGGAGGAGCACCTCAAAATATATTCTTTTGTAAGTGGAACAGAATTTATATAAACTTTTTTTTTTTTTTTTTTTTTTTTTGTATGTGTGTGTGTGTGCGTGACAGTGATCTAAAGCCCTTTTGGAAATGTAACATAGTTGGAAGTGGTAATTCCCACACCCATGTAATATAGTATTTCTAAACAGTTCTGTTCACTAGCTTTAATATTATCTCCAAACTGGATTTTTCAAGCAAACCGTAGTACCGCATGTCCAACCCTATTGATGAAAGGCAATTACAAATGATTTTAGCAGTGACAGAATCATTCATTTTTATTATTTCCTGGTAATAATCAGTGCCCCTACAAATCTTTGAGAGAGACTTAAGCATATATGCATGTTGAAAGCCACAGCATACCTAGAAGACTGAGTTGGTTTCATTGTTCCTTCTTGCAAACAGCGATCTTCAAGTTTTGTATGAATGAAACCAGGGACATGCTCCATTCTTTTCCCTGTTCTCTGCAATATATTCAGTGAGTGTAACAGAACCAGCAGAAATTCACATTTCAATATAGCACAGCAGAAATGGCATTTTTAAGGTTTGGGTCAGATGCTTTAAGTTCACCCAGTTGTCGATCTACAGCATATCTAGAGTTTTTAAGAAAGCTCCTTTGCAAATGCATGCTATGCTTGCCTGTTTTGCAAGACTTTGCCTGCAGTTCTTTTGGATTGAACATACTCAAGCCCCATATATGCTTAGTGCAGAATATATATGAGTTGTGGTTTAATAAAAGAAGCATGCAAAGATTTTTCTGCTTACTACAACTGCTTGTAAGCTTTGTAATTTTAAAGAAAAATCTACCGTTGCTTTTTCATCAGCACCAGAAAATTCCACACGAGGTACCTGCTACTACCTGGATGTTATTCCTAAATGGGATTCCTTTAAAATTTCTTCCTATGAACCACAATGGGCTTCTGTGTACTCCCCTTCTCCAAGACCCTCCACAGCAGCATAGATGCTGACACCTGGTTACCAGGGGCTCTGCTGCCCCTCTAATGCTGAAACCCCCTCTATATTACATTGCTCAATATAGGGAAACAAGAAATATCACTGATCGCTTGGGAATGGAGGGCAGTTAAATGGGCACAAAGAGCCCGATAATATGCCTGAATTGGCCCTGAGTTTTGGTGTTACAAGAAAGGCCGGATTCAGGGGGCGGCTGGTGTATGAACCTGTGTGTGAATGAACGAATGCAATGGAGCAGTCCTCACTGATGCTGTTTTATTGTTGCTGCAGGAGAGCAACGCAGTGGTAGCTAGTTACTAATATTTTATTTTATGAATAAGAGCCCTTGAAAACTCCAGCAGTGAACACGGGTTCATTTCTTTTATAGGCAAGAGGAGGTATTATTCCCATGCCAACAGATTTGATTTTCTTGCACATCTGTTTCTGTAACGAAAACCCCACCCACTCTGTGAACATTTAGCTCGTAAATTATAGGGTTTGAATTGGGTGTATATTGCAAAGACTGACTTTTGCGCATATGATCTGTGAGAATGCTGTGGAATGCCCATATAACTTTTTTTGTTTGCTTTTAGTATATTTTTTAATGAACAGAGAATTTGGTCTCTGAGCACAGTAATAATAGAGAATATTTTTGTCTTGTTTTTATAAAATTTGCCAGGCTCCAATCATTGAGCCTACCATTATGTACATAACTTTTTAGCTGTGTCTTTCATGCTTCTGGAGCAAAGCCAACCTTCTAACACTTAATCTCAACTTTGTAGGATACTTAATACACTTTACATTTTATCCCCAGAAGGTCCCCGTTATTTAAAGATTCTGCTAACTACTCAAATGTGCACACTATTAGAGTTCAAAGAAACACTCTGGCCACGCTCGCTGGTTGTTCTTGCAGATTGGCTTGGGCTTTCATCTTGCAGTGATATTTTTGAATAAAGACATTTTCAGGTTTTATTGACAGCTGCTTTCACACTGGAGTAAAAAGTTCATCTTTTGAGAAGCCTGAAGTAGTGTGGAGAGCTGTGCTATCCATGAGGGAGTTGTGAGTTGGCCTGTGTGCAGCATGGCCAGCCAGCCAGCCATGACCACCAGCCCAGCCTCCAGGTGTCAGAGCCTCTGGCCACCCTCCGGATCAGCACCTTGCCTCAACCCACTGCCCAGATGCCAAATCTCTCCTTTTAACCCTTGGAAAAGTCCTCTTCTTGATCCCCTCTCTTTCACAGCTGCTGAAATCCTCCCTCTAATTCCTAGATAAGTACCCTGCCCCAACCTCTGCAGCAGCTGCTGGAAGCCTTCTGCTAAACACTGAGTAAGCACTGATGCGGAGCTTCCAGCCTCCCCAAAGCTCCTCATTTCCAGGTGTCATCCACCTGGAAATTAGTGAGTGCAGGGTGGATTACTGAGCTGTAAGAAATGCATATGTAAATTCTTTCTTGTCCACCTGGTTACCACTGATCGCCCTTTGTTTCTTAACAGCTGTGCAGCAGCAGACCAGTTTTGTGACAGTGATGTCACCTGCCACCATTGTTGATGCCAGTTGAGAAGCTCCTTACTGTATTTTCTGTTGTAGTCTGAGAGCAGGGTTTACTCATGGTTTTAATCCACTGCTGCCTTTTTACACAGCAAAGTAGAAACCATTCCTTATGATATCTGGCAGCTTTCCAGCAGCAGCCAGTTCGTATATGAAAGTTTTAAGTAAATTATTGTTCTAGTATACGCCCTGGGGTTGGAGGAGAAAGAACATCCAGGACTAACAAACCTGATTGTTCTGGCAGAATCACTTCAGTCCAAGCTGGCATTTCTAACATTTTCCTTTTTGAGACTGTGCTGTGTGAGCACTTTATACAACCATGCTCATTTTTCTTGTCCTATTTGTTGTGTATGCATCAACAATCTTCAATATCAAAGCAATATTTAGGTATTAACCCGGCCCTGAACTCCCTTTACCTTGGGTAGATAAAGCCAATAGCTTGTCTGACAGCATGAGTTCATTAGGCTGCATGTTACTCCTCCAATTTATTACCTTCTGGGGAAGGGTGTGACACAGCCCTTGGAATGAAAGCACTTTCCAACTTGGCATTCACAGGTTCAGAAACATACTTCAATTGCACTGCTAACACTGCAGTGATTTTAAATTATAATCACTCGGCATTGAACTAAGTGATTACTATGCTTGTACCACCGTGCTAGCTGAGATTCCCATAAATTATGATGTGTGTTTTCCTTAGGCAAGTACTGGAAGTCAGTGGAGCCATACTCTGTGCCAGTGGATTGTGCTCTGGCTGAGTCTCAGAAACGAGAGAGGGAGGAGACAGAAACGGTGTCTGCTATGGCCTCCCTTTCAGTGGATGTTGAGCAGTGCTTTCCTCAGGAAAGCAGCAGGTAAGCCAATGCAATTATTGCAGAGAGCGAGGATTTTGCATTCCAGTCACATGGGATGCAGAAGACAGCTAGACTGAGTTGTTTCCAGATTGTCTGCTAACTGAGCTACCTGGAATTTTTCCTCCTTCAATTTAAGATCTTCCTACTTGGCTGATGGAAACACAAAGGTATTCTATGCTAACAAATGTTTTGGTGTGCGTATCTCTTTACTACGGTTCCTGAGAGTACAACAACTTTGTTTCATTCCCATGTTAAAAGCTCTTTACTATATAAAAAGTGCACTATTTATACTGTCTGTGTGAATAAAATGGACATGATCAAGTATAATCAACAGTATTCTTCACATTGGAAGAAATTCAAAACTGGGTTAGCTTTAACTTTCTAGGAAGGCATCTAACTTATGCTCAGATAAATGTAATAAGGACGGACTTAAATCATTATTAAATGATATTAGATAGGCATTAAAAGTTACTTCCCTGGAAGCAATGGAACAGTGCCAGCATAAAACTTAAAACAATCCTGGCCAGGACAAGGGCCAACATTTTCTGCCTGCTGTTCTGAAGGTACCGGCTAAAAAGAGAATGCTGTCTTTTTCCAGCTTGCCAGCTGCTTTTTTAGGTTAATGAACATTGCTTTCATTTTCGCAGCCTGAGAAAATGACACAGTAACTGTTACTAGTTTTCTGCCAGTTAAAGATGAAAAAAAAAAAGAAAAAAAGCCTCTGAGCACTATGTTACAAAGCAGTATTTGTTCAAAGGGACATCAGAGTTTTGAAGAGCCTCTGCAGAAGTTCTTGGTGTTTCCTATTTACTCTTTTGGAGGACAAACTTTTCTGGCCTTCTCCACCAGATGAAGACCCAGAATGCAGGGAGCAGTTCAGTTTCCATCGGAGGAAAAAAGAAAGAGAAGCAGAAAAAAAAAGCCTTATAAGGAGACTCACCAGCTCCCTGCACGTTATAGAATGGAACTGCATAGCAGGAGAGGAAGGAGGGAGATGGAAGCAGACTAGAGCTGTGGTTGGACTGGAGCCAAAAGGGCTTGTGACTTCTGTGCCATGGCAGCTATTTGTTTAGTTTGGTTCTTGCTGTCTGCATGGGAATTTTATTCCAAACTTGTCTGATGGGCAACTGGGAGAACCCGTGGGGAGTAACACGGAATCAGCTCAAACCTATTGGAGCATTTGGAAGTGGACATCTTCCACTACTGTGACAGCATTCATCTGTCAAGAGATTTGCAGATGTGGCTCAAAGGAACACACTGGGGACATAGCTAGTCAGTAAAGTTTGTGGTGTTTACTTAGTCACCTTTCTTATTGCAACTGTGTTTTAAGGATGCTACATCTACTGTTGGGTGTGGATTATTACAAATGAATCCATAAAAACTCAGGAAGAATCCAGTGATGAACAGGAGACAAATTTTATATCTGTGAGAGCATTAATCAGTGATCAGCTAAGGAATAATAAGGTTTGTCATGTAGATTTGTGACTGTCACGAGATGTTTCTGTTAGCCAAGAAAAGAAAGCTGGGGATCCTGTTTGTGTATGCAGAGCTCTGAAATATAAGCAATTTTAATTAAAGGGTTGGAACTAATTCAGCCAAACACAGCAAATTCTTAAGTTGTATGAAAAAGGGCGTGGTTAATGTTGTGTATTTTTGTATTGCTCAGAATAATCAAGAACTGTATTTGTTATGATCCTCCGCTCACTTAAATCTACGGCTGTCAAGAGCAATCACTGATCTTACAAGACTTGAGCAAAATAACCCTTTGACTTAATTATTGTATTTATTGCCTAACTACTGATAACCTGTGGCAGTTTCCTCTCATTCTGAAAACAGTGTCTCAGAGCAGAGCTGAGAAAGTGGGAAAAAAAAACGGATGTGCTGAAATGTACACAAGTGGAATTCATGTGGCTGCCAGATTCATTACACTTCATCAGTCCTGGGCTCTTATAGGGGTGAAGCCTTTGTGATGAATTGTTCTGTGGAAAAATGGCTTTGTTTGAAATATCCTTGGTGCTGTTGAAGTTTTTCAGCAGCGCAAATAAATCCTTACAAGCATACATCCCTGATTATGTTTCCACATTTGTAACCTACAAAGAAGTCACCAAAAGCCAGCTTGCCATCAGGGAGCAACAGGACACCATAAGCATCATCTCACTGGGACAAAATTGACAGCTACTTTTTCTGAGGCTTCAGGATGTTGTTTTCTTGGCTTTCTCCCTACTGAATGTAAAGATGAATATGGAATGAAAAAGGGTAACCTTGAAGATTTGATTTCAGAGATGCAGACACAGTTTTCTGGGCTGCAGAGAAGACCTAGCTGCACTTCGAGCATGAATGAAAGTTCTGCGTGGGATTATGAATGCAGGGATTGATTTGATATTGCACACATTGGTTTTATGCCAGTATAACTCAATTCACTTAACAAAAACATATAATTCTATTCATAGGCGTATAAGAACACAAGCTGGAGTAACACAGTGATGAATTACAATTTTATCACATTTGTTCCATTTATTATAATTAAAGACCAAGTATACTTTGCTCCTTCTCCAACCTCCCTCTATGAGAAATGACAGAGCTGAGGAACTTGAAGAACCCTCTGGGCTCTTATATTCTCTGCATCACTCTTCCCCATTGTGGATTGCAGCCACAATCTGAAGACCTTTCCACTGAGTATTTCTGGGGGAAAATTGTTAGTGGCTGGCAGAGCAGGATCAGAACAGAAAGTGTCATGGCTGACAGGGAAGCCTGAAGGGTTCCTTCATTCTGCCAGGAGTCTGTTTACTTTCTCTTAATTGCCACTATGTTCTGCCAAGCTGATAATTCCGGTCTTGTTTCACATAGTTGATGATAGACATCCTGTTGACTTAGCTCTGGATGGCCAGGCCTGCAGATGAAGAGAGTGGCAGCAAAAGTCTCTTTGTGGGAAACTCTTGCCAGTTATGTTGGAGGATATGTTGGTGTTTGGAGTGAGATGACTCGTTTTAAACTCAGATTTTGGGTAAAGCAGCTCTTTTCCTGGCCAACTCGTATCTGACTCACTTACCACTGATGAATAAAGGATAAAATGCTCCTGGCTAAGGCCTGCATTAAGTATTTCTCTTTCTTTCTTCTCTCCTTCCTTCTTTTCTTCAAATGACAGTGCAGATTATTTTTTTTTTATTCGATTTTCTCTGAGACTAAATGAAGAAAATGGTGAAATCTGCTATGCTTTTGGTGTTTTATTTAACCAAACACAACTCTGCACTTTCAGATTCAATTGAAACTTGATTATAGCCTTCATGAGAGAACAGATATAGAAAAAAAGACTTTGTGGATAGGAAAGAAAACATGCATGATGCTAACACAGATTTAAATGCAGATGCAATTAAAGGAACCAGCATGCCCTATAAAGCTTTTCCAACTGCCATAACTTTTGTGTATAGATAACTGCTTATTCCCTAAGCGAGATACAGATTTAGCTGATTAGAATTTTGCTTTGGCCAGACATCTGTTTCAGAAGTCTTGCTACGAAAATACTCAGCACAGTGCTGTCCACAATATACTGGAGCTTCTGTACATCTTGTCTTAAAAAGGAAAAATAAATGGGTGTGGGGAGAAGTCTCCAGCACTTACAACTTTTGCAGCAAAGAGTAAATCTTGAGAATGACATTTATCAGGATTTAACTTTCTGGCCCTCATTCAGCTGAGCATAGATTTTACTCAAATGGAAATGAAAATGAAGCATCAGTTTTGGGCATTTCCCTTAGCGTTTCTGAGCTATCAGTTGCATTTTCAGTCATATTGCAATGTATTTTATAGCAGTGGAACTGCTTAGATTGGAAGGTACATCTAGCCACCAACTAGGGTCACATTCTCTGCCTGTGCATTGGCTCATAGAGCTTTGCTCAGAATTTCACTGTATGAGCATCCAGAAAAACTTCTGAAGAACTTGCACCTACTGACCATACCCCATTGCATCTGAACTCAAAGCCAGGCTCAGGAGTCAGAGAAGCTGCAGCCTTATTTTACCCACCTGGTGGCTAGTGCCTGAAGGAAAGGACAGGGAACAGATGAGTTGAGAGCAAGACTTTCCCTGATCATCTGTAATCTCAACGGCTGTATGTGACTCATCTGTGTGAAAGCCTCCAGGATACTTACCCAAGTACAAATTTTTCAAAGCTATTTTTGAACTAATTTACAGTTTTGATGTTCATGCAGTGAATCCCACAGCTTCATCAGGCGCAGTTTAGAGCATTTAGAAATGAAAGCATTTTTTTTCCTACTCACGTTCTCTGCTACATTTCTGGTTTTAAATATTTTAACTGTCTCAAGACCTTTTATTTTTCCTGGAATTAAAAAGAAATCTTACTTCAGATTATTCTTCTTGCCCCTTTTCATAATACTTGTAGTACTTTTTAAGAACAAGGACTAAGAATAGAATTCAGGACACCAGATGTTGAGCACACTATGGATATATACAGTAGATTAATGATGGGCATTTTTTGCTGCTTTTGTTTCTCTCTTCTACTCTCATTAATTCTAAGCTCTCAGTAATTGCCATCACAGTATATAAACAATTAAAGCTGTCCTCGCTCTGCTTTGTGTATTATTTTGCATCTGTTTACCTTCTTTTCCATTCAGAATTGGCACTATGGGCTTTAGAACTATCTAGTATCAGTAATTTTGCATCATCAACAAATGTTATCACTTAAATGTACTGGTACGTGGCCAAGTCTTGAAATGCTGTGGAACAACTCTCTATGGTGAAAATTCACCAGTGTTATTACCCATTTCTTCCTTCAGATGGCTTTTTAATCTATGGCAGGGACTTCTCTCATAAACTAAGTTCCTCAGAGCATTTGCATAAAATCATTGGAAGACTTTCTTTGTACATGGGTATCACTTGATCCCTCTTCCTTCAGTTCCTTCAGAAATTTGTAATAAATTTGTAAGGTTTGACTTCCCTGCAACAGTTAAGGCTTAACTCTTAGTCAAATTACTATTATCTAAATGCCTACTAATTCTATGATTTATTATAGTTGCTATCAATCTCTCCCCTCCCACTGCAGACATATTGTATCTCCTATAGTCTCCCTAAGGAGGACAGCATTTCTTACCTCTGGCATGGATGCTGATTTAACCAGTAGAATGTACTCTACAGTTATTTATTTAGAAACATCATGATTGCATTCCCTAAGAACTCAGTGGACAAATTTAATCTGCTCTTAGCAATTTGGCAGTGTTTAATATATCAGCTTGTTCTTGTGCTGATTCAGTTTAAGACAGTTCATCTGCAAATAATAAAATCTACCTGACACTTCTCTAGTTAACAGAGATATAAATTGTTCATTTTGCTCTTGTGGTCTACCTTTCTTGATGTTCCTCTTATGCTTTGATCATTTCTTCTGATGTATTTGAAAGATCTTTTCATTATTAGTTTTTATGCCTTTAACATGTTAGTCTTCAGATTCTCCTTTGCCCATTTTGTGGGTTTACATTGAACTTGCCAGAGTTTCTATTTTATTTGCCTTATTTGGACACGACATCCTCTTTTGGGAGTTCACATGTTTTTACCTTGGTTGGCTCTTAAATTGCAAGGTCTTTTTCATCATGGCTCTTTTCCTTTGATCCATAGAGACCATTTTTTACTAGGATATACACTTGCTTGGGATCTTTAATACGATGTCTTCAAGCACTCGCCAAATCATCTTCAAGGTATAGAAACATACCTCCTTTCCCCCATTCTTTGCTACCAGAGGATCACTTTTCAATTACGATGCTCTTCCCTGAGACAGCTGAGTTAAATTAGAAACAGATTATGGCATAAAACAACCATACCCCATAAGAAAATCTATCTTTTGTTCAGCAATTTCAGCAATTCTGGGGACTTGGAGACTTATCTTGATTTTTTTTTTTGTTTTTTTTTTTTGGTTGTTTGCATGTGGTGGTGTAGGAATCTTTGAGGAATCTCTGAAATTCTAATTTATAAATTAAGGTAAGAGAATTTTTTTATGATTTCCAGAATACATCTAGATTCTTATACTGGCTTTCTTTAAAGTGTAGATCTGATCTATTTTAAATAGAATTCTCATTAAATAATATGGTTGCCATTTACTCAGAACTACCACAGAGCAATAGCACTCAAAGTGTCTCAAGTCTTGCCAGATTTTATCCACATGGAAGAACTCTGTCTCATTGACTTCATTTGTTTTAATATGATCATTTCATTTAGCAATAACTGCACAGAGACTATTTCCTTCTGCCAGAGTGTGAGCTGCAGATAGATATCTTGTAGGCAAGCACTCTTCATGGTATATTCAAATAATTAGAATGAATGCAAGAGAGCTCTGCTCCTAGAAACCTGCAGTTTCAGTGTAGGTTTACAAAAGATCACAGTCGTGGTTCTTCATTCATTATAGTCCTAATCTGTGCCATTTTGGATCTGCCAACTGTGCAGATCAGCCTGGATCAGATCCAACCTCACTGTTACATTTCTGAGGAATTAGAGCATACAATATGGATTAGGTTGTTTTGTTTTGTTTTCCTGTTTTATTTTTTTATGCCAACTTCTTGCTAGCTACAGGAAGACTAAGTGAACTAGTGCAACTAAGAGTGACATAATTGAGGAACATAAATTTGGCCTGTCAGACTCTGCTCCCTCAATTTCATGGGGAGAACTTTGTATTTAAGCTGAAGGGGTACACACTGATTCATCTCTCAAACATATGTGATTTCAATGTTTTTCTTTCTGTACTAAGAGCCTGAAAACTTTACTTGATCTCTCACAAAACTCTAGCCTAAGCTGTTGTCCTGTAAACATGCACGTTTCTACTGACAAGTCATTGGATAGATCCAGTGACTTCTCTTGTGCTAATAAACTGAAGTAAAAGCACACACACAAATTATCAAAGCAGACTCAAGAAGGCTGAGAATACTCACTCTGGGAGATAGCAGCTGGATTTGCCAGGACACCTGAACCTCTTCTCCACTTCCAAAAAGGGCCTTAAGTCTTGCACTTGAATGTAAATATTTCTACTGGGGCTTAGGCTCTGGCTGTTGAGGAACACTGGGATATTCTTGGAGTACACAGGAGTTTATTAGAGCACAGTGCATGAGGTCAGTCCTGGTTTTCAGAAGTGCCCTCATCAATGAAAAATTACCCAGGGCTAAATGTTTAAACACAATTGTCTCAAGGTTGTGAGATATTCATGAGAATGTCAGAATCAGAAGCCAAATACATGTAAGTAGACTTGCACATACTCCTTCCCTAGCTCCTTATAAATAACAAAAGCTCCCACTTCCAATTGCAGAAACTTTCCAGAGCTCCACTCTTTCCAGTTCTGCCAGTCACCAGTTAAAATCTACTGAAAGCTTTCTTCTCATTCATTTGTTCATTCATTCATACATTCATTCATTCATGCATGCACAGCAGAATCTAAAATATTAACTGCCACCTGCTTTCAAATTGTTCTTTTCTCAGCAACTCTTGTCAGGTCCTGGGTGTTTAACAGGGCTTGCTGCACTTTTGCATTATTCTACAGGGGAAGCAGGTCTTCTGCTGGAAAAAGTGGGACCATGTGTTTAGCATGAGGGCAACAAACAGCAGCAGTGTGGAGTCTCCCCACAGCGCATGTTCCTATGCCATACTTCACTAGAAGGCTGGGCTCCATCCCACCTCTATTTCCTCTGTGCCATCCAAACCACAAGTCAGGAGAATGCAAGAAAGGATAAAAATATAGTGATGGTCTTGGTCATTTTTTTATTACTCACATTAAAAATCCTCCACTGTATGGCAAGGAATAGCAGATTCGAGATTTATAGATGGATAATCTTTTGGGTTCACAAACCCTTTGGAAAACAATTAGTCTGAAAAATGTCTACTTTTTCATATATTATTCATCTGACTTATTTTTTAACATACTAGCTATAATAATTTCAAATCATAAAGGAATAACCTGCATAAGATCTTTTAAAGAGACATTGCTGGTTTTTTTTGTTGAGAAAAACTTTAATAAATTCCAGATTAATTCAAAATTCTCTGGCTTCCTTGCTAAATAAACTACCAAAGCCCATGCAAGCCCCCATTAATTACTTTTTTTTTTCCATGAGATCTCATGATCTTGTATTTTCTGAGGGATTTTTACTAAAGCCAATCTTTATGTGAGCTTATCAGATTTAACTGGTAAATGTCTGTTCTATTTATTAATTTGTATTTACTTTTTGCCCCTCATTTCAAGCCATTCTTGGAGGTCTTAAACTCACTTTTTAGGCTGTGTTCAGCCAGACTGATGAAAAATGGTCTGTTTCTAAATTCTTACATCCTTCAACAGTGAGTTCTCACCGTGGTCTCAGAAGTTCCAAATTTTACAATTAGCAGCATAATGCTCAGAAACAGTTAGATATGAGAAGCTATGACACAGTGCACCAGCTCAGCATTTATCTCCATTTGTTACTTACTAGATGTTTTAAAGACTTTATCTTGCTTAAGTTAGATATTTCCCAGGAAGTTTCAAACAAAAGTTGCACTTAGAATCTGATGAGATATTATTAATGGATACTCTCTCTAAGACTGCTAGACAAGTTCAGAATTTGGTCTTATAAGTTGCAGGCAGGCAGGCAGCAGCCAATGCATTTATGAAAACGCAGAATTAAAACTCAAAGGATTGAGGAAAAACCTTGCAAGAAATATTGCTGATTGCTTGGCTACTGGTAAACTGGGGTTTTGTAATGGTATGGGCTCACTTGGGAAAACTAAATGCATGTATTTCCAGTCACAAGTGCTTGTAAAACAGAAGTATCACGGCTATTTTTTTCGTGAAATGATTTGATTCTGTTGACACAAAGCATGTACATTTCTGGAGAAAAAGTTATAAAATATTCTGACATATTTTAATATAAACAGGAACGTTTTCAGTGATTGCTTGGATCTAAAATGTTTTTCCACTTGACATTTGTTTATACTTCCTAGGAAAGAAACTCTATTTATGGATAACTGAATAACACAAATAAACACGAGAGAGAGCTGAAAAATCAGCTTTGATTATGCATGAAAATCTACAATGTCATTGTGTACTCTTATGCTGTATTCTGATTGCCTGTTTATTTTTACAGAGCTGCTGGCGAGCCCATGGAAGAAGAGCCAGCCTTGTGAAGTGCCAAGTCCTCCTTGATATTTCCTGTGGGTGACATCATTGTGTATCCCCCCAAAGCACCCTCAGACATGTCTTGTCTGCTGCTTGGGTGGCATGGATCAGATGGAACATAAACACTGGGCACAAAGTTCTGAATAGCAGCTTCACTTGTTCTTTGGATGGACTTGAAAGGGCCCTAAAGATTCCTTAAATGTAACCGCTACAATTGTAGAGTTACAGTAAAACAGGCTTGGGAGAAAGAGCCTAGAGCATGCTTTTTATATGCTGTTCGACCCGCTCACCACCATCGATTGTGAAATAGAGTATTACAAAATTCTACACGATAGATTATAGATATGAGTTGCAACAGCCAGCAAAATACTTGGTAAACTCCATGAATCACTTTCTGACACTTTTTACTGGGTGATTTTTTTCATACTGTGTTAAACTGTTAATAGAAATTGTTTTCTTTGCTCCTGTAATGAAAAAATGAAAAGAAAAAAAAAACCCTTTATTTTATGTGCCGTTTTTTAAACCCCTGTAATGAGTTCTTAGCAGAACAAGAGAAAGGTGTGTAAACTGAAATGAGGGATTTTAGTTACAGGGAAAGCACTTCTTATTGTACTATAAATCCCCCCAAAGTACTGTGCTTGGTGGTTTTTTTTTCCCTTTTATTTTTATTTTCCCTTCCCCTGGCCATCTCTCCCCATTTCCTGTAACCTTTTCTATCATAAAAACACATTCACGATTCCCTAAAATGAGTGATCTTCTGTCTTTAAAAGACTGCTGTACCCGCCATAGTTGACAGTAGCTCTCACCAGATGTGCAGCAGAGATCAAGTAGTCTGAAAAATAGATGGCTTTCCAAATGTGTTTTCATTTTATTCTGAAATGTTTCTGCATCCTGGCTCTAAGAACAGCGATCCGAAGCAACTGCGTGCAGCTCATTTGAAGCCTCAGGTGTTTCTGTGGAGTTTGTTGGGGGTGTTTTTTTACAGGTTGTCTTGTGAATACAAACTGATTCTTTTATGTAGTCCTGCACTGAGAGAGCTGACACTGCTTAAGGAGTTTCAAAGGGTTTTGGTTTTACGTTAGATCCCCAAAGTGCAGCAAGACTTCCCTGCGATGTGACATTAGCTATTTAATTCCATGTTTGCAAACGTAACAGAGTCGTGCCTTTAGCTGATAATGAACGCTTAAACTGTTACACGTGTTGCCTTACTGCTAGAGAAAGAGATAGGGCATGTGTGTTAGATGATTTCAAATGCAAAATTGTGCTACAGCAACTTTTATTTTGTTTACAACTTTCTCACCTAATGAACCCTGGGCGATACCTTGAAGTATTTTGCTTACAGTATGTGACAGCTCGCTTGGCTTTTGAAAGCAAATGATGTTCATTTTTATACATTTTCAAACTCAAAGGATATATTAAAGCCATAAGTGAAGACTGTCATGCTTTTTATTCTGAAATCTGAAAGAAACCTTAATTAAAACAAGATTCTGGTGAAGGCCATGATATGAAAGATATGGAACAATATGGTTTCACTTACAGTCAGACTCGAACCTGTAAATCAAAGATGAAAGATTTCATTCAAATAGAATTATATAATTCTCTTTTGTTATGCAGTTGAACTATATCTTTCATGCATTTGGGTTTGTTTACGATTAGCATTTTAATTTTAAAGACTTTTATTACTAATACAAAAGCTTTCTGCTACAAGTTAGAAATCCGAGGCATGCTTTGAAAAGGGAAATCTAAAAAAGGAATGTCATTTCCTATAATGCGAAGTAAACTTTTATTCCAAAAGGCTTACTCTAAAGTGGATATATGCCCCTAAGAAAGTTAAATAAAATTCTACCCACCATTTACAAGCCAAAATCTTGCTCATTTTAGTAATACAGAGGGTCCTAGCGGGCTAAATTAACTCCTGCTGCAAGCCACCTTGCTTGATTTTGGGCTTCTGAAGGGACTGTTCATATGACTAAAGCAATAAGGGTTCACCCTGTTTTTTTAGCAGACTTGTGATGGCAATCTTACTTGCCACTTACTGCAGTTTTCTTGTGGTCTTCAAAGAAGTTTCTCTTCAAGGAAACTAAGGGCCAAGCTGATGAGTTGGCTAATTTGTAAAGCTTTTCACATTTTGAAATGATGTCTGCAAAATTTTAATTGAATGCATAGTAAGATCATTCTAGAATTAACCCCACAAATGCAAAATCCATTTGAGCCCTCAGCTTACATGAAATGGAATATGAATTGCAGTTTGAAATGCGATTCACAAACTTTACCAATTAAAGTCTATATTCTGGAGTGGAAATCAGATAAAGCTGTCCTTTGTAGCTGAAAAAGCTTTTAAAATGCCAGAGTAATTTGAATTAAACCACATTATAAACTCACACTTATGCATTTATACAGGCATACTACTTGACAGACAACTAGACGTGCTATTGGCTAAAGTCAGGATCATTTGGATAAGCAAATGTGCAAATAAACTGCACACAGATTGTGTCCAGAACTCTGTTCTCACTGAAGGCAATAACAAAATCCTCTTTGATTTCAGTGGGAGATGAATCAGGACCTGTGGGGCTTTTTGTGTGTGAGTGTATGTGTGTTCCTTTGGTGGGTTGTTTTTTGTTTTTTTGGGGTTGTTTTTTTTTTATTATTTTATTTTATTTTATTTTTTTTTGAGAACACCATTTCTTTTTGATTATGTCATTACAAGGCACCGTGCAGCCCTCTGGGAAATGATCAAGGCTTATGGTGAATATCAACACTTCCTTCCAAGCAGACCTGGGCTTTCCAAGGGGGCAGTTTCACTTGCTGCTGTTTTCTTCTCACAGTAGTTTTTATTACCATCAATAGCTCCCTATGGATTACAGTTATAATATTTCCCAGTTCTTTTTGTCTTATTTCCAGGGAAATATTCATATTGACAATCTTAAAAAAGCAGAGTTTTAGCTGGATTAAAAAACAGATTTCCTGGGTTTCAAAAAGGTGTACAAATTGCCTGTTTCTCTGCTTGTAATATTCAAATCCAGAGGCTTAGGAGCAATTTCTGAAGAAATGTCACAGTCTCCTGTCTGCCATGGACCTCTGCTTAGGTGAAGGAGATTGACATCTCTGAAAAATAAATTCCAGATATTTCTAGCTGGCCGCCAAAATGTCAACATCTTAGTTTAGACTGCTTCGAAAAAATGAGCTGATGGGGTAAATAATGACTCCTTTGTCCAGTGAGGAGGGGAAGCTGAAGAGATGGCAAAGAGCCCTCAGAGCCAGAGTGACCCTCTGGTGGTGCTGGTGGCATGGGAACTGCAGGATGTCCTGCAGCAAAGCCTTGCCTTGCTGTATGAGGGTTCAGAGGCTGTATTCCGGCTTTGGATCATGATTTTCCTAAGTCAGCAATCTGTTGAGTCAGAAGTGCTACAGCAGCAAGTATTGATGTGCTACTCCATTCTATACTCTTCCCTCAGTGTTGAAGACTGTGTGTTGAGCTGACTGAGACATGTTAGGTTATTAAATTCATATTAGAATCTGAAAACTAAAAGATTGTACAACTTAGGATATCGAGAAAAAATATATATATTCAGCTTAATGTTTTTACCTGGGCAGTTAATTTCAGAACTGCTAAGCCTATCTCTTACTCTAGGAGCTTTCTGTGCCCTCATTTGGCTTTAATATAATCTGCAGCAATGAGCTATTTCATTATATTATCCTTCTTCAGGCAAAATTCCTAGCAAAAAATCAAAGTTCATAGAAATGTGGCCAGAGTAAAGATGACAGCATTAGTCTCTTTCTTATGTTCCTTCTTAATTTTACTTTCAGTAAAAAATAAGCACTTTATTTCAGGCAAGAGAATTTCAGGAAAATAAAATCATGAAATGATCTTAAATATCACAACATAAATAGAAAATACAGATTGCTGTTATGTAAACAAAGTTGAATATTTCTTTACTTGCAAAAAGTCAACAACCTGCCAGATGTAAAGAAGTGGCAAAAAAAGTCTCTCTCTTCAGTATGTGATGTTTAATTTGGTGTCTCGTCTAAATGAAGTCTCCCTGAAAAGCTGAGATTCATAACTGGAGATTAAATATTAGAAAGGTTTTGCTGCAGCCAAAACCAGAGGTCCTGTAGAGAACAAGAATGTAGAGACTGCTTAATTTGTGTAGACAGACAGCAGGACACTTTCGGGGCAATGTGTCTGGGATGAAGAATTAGAGGGAATATTTCCAAAGGCACTGGTGGCTGTGAGACAACCAACTACGATTAATTTGCAGAGGCAAGGAGGTGCTTAGTGAGTGCTTGCCCTTTGGGAAATGCCCTGTCCCATGAACACACCCACTCATATGCAGACATGAACCTCCCTACACAGACTTAGTCCTAAATAACAACAGCCCAGACTGTTGCCCAGAAGAAGACACTATGGTTTTGCCCCTCGCAAACATTTCATAGCAGGAATGACAAGAGGGGATATCCATACTTTTTTTTCAGTAGTAGCCTTTCCAAGAGTGTAACGGCACATGGTTGTTTTATTTTAAAAGGTCACAATAGAGCTTTGTGAACTATTGTACATTTTTTTTACAGACTCCATATGGAAGTAAAACAGAATATGTGCATGAAGCAGGGGGAACCTGCTAGGAGAGAATTTCTCTTAAACCAAGCCTCTGCTACTTACTTTTCATCCAAAATCTGGAAGAATTTGGATTTTAAATTATAGTTTAATATTTATATTGTTGTGTCGCTTCAGTTTTTCCCTTTAATTGAATTTGCCTTCATAGCACATGAGAACCAGAGAAAAGAGGCCCATCTTCCCTGGCAGATTCTCCTGCCCTTGGTGTGGGAATGCGAATAACTTATCCTTGTCACTCCTAGCAGCAATTAAATGTTTCATTTTTGTGACAGATCCAAACTGGAGTGGTATTTTATGAGAATGATTTAGCTGGCTGTCTGCTGATTGTTAAAAAAAGAAATTGTGAAACTTGCATTCCTCTCTAACCTCAAAAGGGACCCATTTTGATTTTAACAATGTAATATCTTCACTTGATCCAAAAGGTTTTTTGTCCCATGACATCTTGTTACTAGCTCAGTTTTAGTCTTTAGCAAGTAACACACCACAGAGAGCGAAGACCAAGGAGGACATTCCAGCAATTATTAATTATAATTCCCATCTACTATCTTTTACTCTACTCTAGTGCCATGCTCTGTGCTTCTGTATATTAGAAGAGCTTAGAGCAAAGTATAAACTGTTCTGTGTAATCTAAGACACTCTTGGTAGGATGTTAATTAGCACACTGTGATTTGGTCTGCAGTTTATGAGGAATACGTGCTCCTGTGTGAATGGATGGTCAAGAGGCAAATGGAGTATGAAACTGATGGCATTGTTACTGTGCAGTGAGAGTGATTCTGTGTTAAAATATCCACACATCATCCCCTTGCTGTTGGTATGTCCAAATGGCCGAAGGAATATTTGCAATGTCAGAGCTGTAGGATGCCTTTATTCAAAGGCCACTGAGCTTCTTCTGTAACGGGCTGTGGATAGGAGCTGGGAGAGAGCTTGTGAAGAAATCTTTGCTTTGCACAACCACAACCAAACTACAACCAAGTTCAGGTACGAATCTGAACTCTGCCACACATCCCCATTTCTGAAACGAAGTCCTTGTTGTTCCTCTAGAAAAAAATCTGTCTGAAAGAGCACTGGCACCAATGGATATTTACCTGCTGACTTCAGCAGGCTTCAGAACGGTGTAAACATCATGTCTTATGTGAACAAGTTCATACACTTGTTTCCTGTTTCTTAATTTACCGTTATTTTATATTTATGGATTGGCTTAATATTCTGTTAGGATGCAGTAGGAAAGTATAAAGCAATACCTAGTGAAGTCATAACTGAATTTTCAACCCAAACTTACTGCTGTGGGATTTTAGAATACCAAGCCTTCCACCTAGGGATGCACAGCTGAAATGTCCATTTATTTTTTTCTTTGAAAATTGTTGTAGCTATCTGTTTCTATGATAAAAAACAGTCCTTTTCTCAGAGCACTAAAAGTTTATCTGTAATTTG